CTTGGTCGATAGCCATCCATCTGTACATCCCTCCATGAGTGTACCAGTACAAATTCATTCGCGTCTTCGGTTGACATCAGGTATCGGCGATCAGTGCCACATCATTTGCTACTGTGAGGCTTCGGGTCCTGTAGGAGTGAAGCACCACAAAAGTCGGAATCTTGATGGAGGCGGGAACAAAGAGAATGGTTGGAAATCTCCTTGTTCAGTACTTATCTAGAAGGAACTTGTCTACTGTACAAAATACAACGACCTTTTATACTAGAACCGGAGGCACAGCTTGGTCCGTGCGAAAGGAGAAAGTAAATAAATGTTTGTTAGGAGCTGTGTCGAGGACGACTGCGTCGGCCGACGATCACCGAGCCCTTACAGCTACTCTCCATCCCGACCACCATCTGCTTTTCCTCGGCTCTTCCGAATGAATCCCTTCGCTGCATGCTCGACTGAGCTGCGGAAGCGATCCAAAAAGACTGCAGCTCCTCTGCCTTCTGCCTCGACTCGTGGACTCGGATGGTCCATACAATCAACTTCCTCTTGCGCGGCACCTTTTTTCTCGTACTAGTGCTGGCGGTACGGTACTCAGTGGCAGCTTGCAATTTGCTCTCGCCAGGCCCGTCTCAGCCTCTCGTTCCTCGGGGAGAACTTTCAAGCAGCAGGGGCGGTCCGAGTCCGCCCATTGGATTGCAATCTTCTGAACCGCTGTTCACAAACGTTCATGATCACTTGCGTAATCACGCCCTCCGAGTCCGATGTCACTTGGATACGGCTAACAAGTAGGTATCTTGGAAGTAAATATCTCTCTCGTTGTGCAGTATGACATTGACCTGCAACTGACTATAAATACGCATACGTAGCTATGGAGGAATAGAAACAAGCTGTTCAGCCAGAGACGACGTCACCCGAGCCAGGGACCTCTGTGGGTTGAGCGACGGCTCCAGAGAAGACGCCTCCCGACCCGGTGGGTTGAGCGAAGGCTCCAGAGGATTCAACGACGCCTCCGGAGAAGACGGCTCCAGAGGGTTGAGCGACACCTCCAGAGAGGACGCCTCCAGAGGGTTGAGCGACAGCTCCAGAGAAGATGCCTCCAGAGCCGGTGGGTTGAGCGACGGCTCCAGAGAAGATGCCTCCAGAGCCGGTGGGTTGAGCGACGGCCCAAGAGAAGAAGTCTCCAGAGCCGGTGGGTTGAGCGACGGCCCAAGAGAAGAAGTCTCCAGAGCCGGTGGGTTGAGCGACGGCCCCAGAGTTGAAGAAGCCTCCAGAGCCGGTGGGCTCAACGACGGCTCCAGAGAAGACGCCGCCAGAGGGTTCAGCGACGGCTCCAGAGAAGAAGCCTCCAGAGCCGGTGGGCTCAACGACAGCTCCAGAGAAGACGCCGCCAGAGGGTTCAGCGACAGCTCCAGAGAAGACACCTCCAGAGGGTTGAGCGACAGCTCCAGAGAAGACACCTCCGGAGCCGGTGGGTTCTGCTATCCCTCCGGAGCCTAGTATTTCCCCAGAGCCGGACGGGAGTGGAAGACCGCCAGAGGCGATGGGAAGGGTGTCGAGGGAAGCACTCGAAGCGGGATTGAGCGATGCGCGCCGCACCTACAGGGATATATTCATTGAACATAATGAATAATGGAACGCACCCGAAGCACGGCTCCGTCAGCCAATCCGAAGGCAGCACAAACGACGGCTGCAGCGAGGATGTTTTGGGAGAAAGATGTGGACTTCGTCGCAAGACCAGTTGGATGAGGTTGAAAGAACTGTAAAGAGTGAAGAATTAGGATGCAGGCACAGCCGACTTTAAAGCAAATAAATTGACCATCCATTGCACGGGAAACAAGTCGGTCGTCGCGAGAGAGTTTCGGAAACCATACAAAAGGTAGAGAAATAGCAATTCCGCAGTCAATCTCCCAAAAATATTGAATCCGCAGTCGCGACGCCCTTGTTCGGATTAGTTGTATGCTGAATATGTAGCACCATCGGGCGTCCAAGTGCAGAGAGGCGACTTCAGGCCGTTTAAAATGCTCTACCACGAGGGCGAGTACGTACATAGCAGAGAGTGACCCGTCGAACCGCTGATTCAGCTGTCCCAAAAAACAAAATCAGACTTGGCACTTGAATGTTTACTTACCCATCTTGCGACACCGCAGTCCGTGTTCATTGCGTTTGCGTCCAATTTCTAGACCCGCAACACCCCTCAGATTGATATGCAACCGCGACCTAAGTATGTAGGTGATTCATCATGCAACTCCCGGGGTCCCCATCTATCAGTTGTTGTCTTAATTGGTTAGTCTTGCACAATCGGGGGAGGAAGTGCAACTGAATCGTCCATCCCTGTTCCCGCTCCACGCTAAGCCCTGGCTCATATTTTGCCGTGTGCGACAAAGAGTGTTTGAGCGCGCTGCGAAGAGCCAATAAACATCGGTGATTATATATATCCCACGGTTCAACGTTCGAATGCCTTGTAACTTGGGTATTTGTACCTGAATGTCTTGGATTTTGAGTCGGAGTTGACTTTGAACTGATCACTAGCGTGGCCACTCTGGTCTCCCGATCTCAAACATGAACAGCCAGCAACTACGCCCGCCAATCGACCACCTCTACTTTACGCGCCATTCTGTATGTGTGGTAGGTAACTCACTCTAAATGGATCGCTACAGAGCTTGTTGTTGTAGCGTGACCTGCAACGTCCGCGTCAACGGTGGCGGCGGTGCCGAATATGGCTAAGTACTTGAAAAGTATGTTAGAGTATAGTAGCGGTCTGTTCGCAGACTTTGGCGATCAGGATGCCAACCCACTCAGAGTTGGATAACCCCATCCCAGTTGTATGACTTTCCTCTGGGCTTTTCGCTTTTTCATTGACGATGGTGTAGACCTTCACTTGCGTGACTGAGCAATCTTCCGATCACCACCCTCATACATACGACCCATACCTCCATACATGCCCTCGTTCGCTCATTTCATTAGATCACTCGTTTATAACAACCATGTACAGTTCGCGCGTTCAAAGTATATACATAGAGGCATGGATTTTCCTATACACACAAGCAGATTCCAACAGCAACCTTAAGCATGTCCCCAAACTGGAACCGGCAAATACAGCTCGTCGAGGTATTTCATCTCCTCGTCCGTCAGCTGCAACGAGACCGCAGCGATACAATCGGCGAGCTTGGCTGTAGAGGTTGAGCCGATTACGGGGGCTGTGATTCCTGGAGTGGGATTCATTGCAATTAGTTCGGTCGAACGAAAAGGAAATTCAAAGGCAGAAGAAGAGAACCGACCATCTTTCTTCATACTCCACGCCAACGCAACCTGTGCCATCGACACCCCACGCTTCCCTGCGACTTCCTCGACGCGCTGCACGATGGGCGCAAAGCCGCCTTTCTCGTACACGCCGATCAACCTGTGCGGGGTATTTAGTGAAGACGAACAAGGTGAGAGGAGAGGACTTACGGATCCCCACTCCCACGATCCGTCTTGCTCTCAGACCCCTTTTGCGCTGCGAGCGGGCGCGTTACGGTTCCCCGCGCGAGGGGCGACCAGGGGATGATGCCTACGCCAAAGTGCTAGAATTTTTTTGGTTCAACGCAAGCGACATGGAATCCAAGCGAGAAAGCGGACCTTGAGAGTAGGGAACATCTCGCGTTCCTCCTCGCGATAAACGACATTGTGGTGGTTCTGCATCGAGACGAAGGGTGTGAGGTTGTGTGTGATTGCATAGTCTGGAGTGAGTTGAAAATTAGCAATTTCAAAGAGCAACGAGAGAGGGAAGGGAGCGCACTCTGCATGATGTGGACTATCCCAGGTCAGACTAACGACAAAAGGCAGAAACGACGAAACGTACACTGATACGCCCAGCACGAGCTCATGCCGATGTAGCGCACATATCCTGCCTTGACGACGTCGTGCAGAGCTTGCATCTGTCGGACCGCGTGAGTCTACACTGCAGCACACAAGAAATGACGCACAGTCTCCTCGATAGGCGTATCGTAGTCAAACCGGTGGCATTGCAGCAAATCGATATACTCGAGTTGCAGCCGCTTGAGGCTGTCGCGCACCGAATCGAATATGTGCTGTCCACAGCCAGTGAGTCCGTGGATACTAAGACCACACCAGACCGGAGAGAACGCACCTTACGACTGAGCCCGTACTGATTCGTACTGCGGCCGCCGTCAGCCTCGGAGCGCTTCTTCCAGGGCGCGTAGCGGAATGTGATCTTGGTCATGACGACGATTTCGTCGCGGGGAATGTTGTGCTGCTTGATCGCCTTGCCCAGGATCTCTTCGGATTGGCCGTCGGAGTAGATCTATGGCTGGAGTAAGATGGAGGTGAGGAAGAGAGAATGAGCACAAACAGCAGCGGTGTCGAACGCGTTGATTCCTGCGTCGTACCTATCCACGCATTCAATTTACAGCAGCCTCCAAGTAGCCACGTCGACGCACGCAAACTTGATATGCTCGATCCCAACCTCTTCAGGCAGAATCCAGCTCTGGCCCGTCCACTCAGGCGAGCCGTAGCTCATGCATCCCAAGATGAGCTTGGATACCTTGAGCCCCGAGTTTCCGAGGCGGACTACATCGGGCCTCAGACTATGTGGACTCGACGCGGCGAAGGTACACACCGTATTTCATTTTCTTAGGGTCCGGGACGGGAGTCGTTGCACTTGCCATTGTTCTTGCTTCGAGGGGAGAAGGTGGGTGTAAAGAGGCCCGCCGCAGGTTTTATCCTACTCGGCTTTTACGTACGGATGCTCTTGCCACGAGCCAAAGCAAGGCATCAGTCGCAGTTTGAGTGGCACTGGCAGGAAGAAGGCGTACGGCGGCACGTGATAGAGTACAGCCACTGTGAACGGCGGGCGTTGTGAGCACGGGTGACGGCCGCAGTAATTTTTTTTTTCACCATCAGACTTTGCTCATGAAAAAACGCACATCTTCGGTGCGATCCAAGGCTTCCTCCCTCCATCTTGTACAAGCATAGACATAGTCCTCATTCATCATGTTCGATCGGTCCTCGTCGCTTTGGTGGGGTAGTGGTAACCTGGGTCGTTGCCATGGGCCATGACTTGTGATAGTCGTTCTAGTTTATTCGACCCGCCGGGGGTTCGATTCCCTCCCAAAGCATACGCAGAGGCGATTCTTTTGGTTTTCGCATTACCCCCCCTCATCAGTAAAACGGCCGGTTTGGCTTTGGCGTCTTTGTCTTGTGGAGGTCGTCTTACGTCTTTGAAACTCATCTTTCGCCGTCTTTGTCTTAGAGCTGGATGTGTCCGTCTTTGACAGATATCTTTCTGGTCCGAATTGTCTTGGTCAACATTGTACTCTTGGTTCCGATCCAATCTTTTACAAGTCACGAAAAAAGACATCCACTCCCTAGAGAAGCCAAAGACATGGTGTTGGAGAAAGACGCCAAAGACGTCCGATCATTGAAAGACAGCGCTTGAACTCGGAGATCTGTCGTCAAGTCATTCAAACTCCGCTCGCATCAGCGGAGACAACATTCCGAAAAGATTCCGAAGGGTGACTCAGGCAGTAGCCGACAACGTAACGCTGCCACGTCTCTCCCACCATCTTCCCTCTCCCCTCCCGCCCTCGACCCGTCCTCGTCGTCCTCAACGGTGCCCACTGGCTCTTAGTATCGGCTGCCACACCACCTCTCGTTCTCCTACCAACGAAGCCCCATGTCAAGCCGCTTCAAGAAGGCCCTGTCAAGAGGCTACGCCTCTGTCGCTGCGAAGTGCGGCCGCAAGCCATGCAAGAGTCACTCAAGTTACCCTCTCATGTTCTGCTCCACCCATTCTTGGCCCCCCCCCTCTCGATACTCCCCCGCGTCCTCCATCATGAATTGTCCTATTACCTCAAAGACGCAAGCCTTCTAGTACTGGCAGCTTGGCTTCAAGTTTCAAAAATTCAAGCTTCGTGGCCCACTCCCTACATCCACTCCTCTCCTGCATAACCCTCTCGTCCCTACTCTACTTCCTTACCCTCACCCATCTGATCCAAGTCCCCGCTGCAAGCTTCATCCATCCTGTTAATCCAGTGTACTTAGATAATCTGTATTGTAGGTAAAATTGAATGAAGTTCGTCTCTCTAAAATGTGCCTCTTTGAATTAAGATTGGTGTCTTTGGAAAGGACATGCTGTCCTGGATAAGCCGCAATCGGTCTTTGACAAGACAGATTGTCTTGTCAAAGCAAAGTGGACCTGCTATCCCCAAGACACATGTCTTTGGCGGAAATCTGTCTTTGGCGTCTTTGACGTCTTGGCAAAGACGCCAAAGACGCCAAAGACAAACCGGCCGTTTTACTGATGCTGCAGGAAATACAGGTATTACGTACCTTCAAGTTTTTATTCTGGATCTTAATATTCAGTTGTCGGAAGTAATTCAGTCACTCTTCCTAAATACCTACATCTTTGCCGTCGCTAGTCCACCGCGTCCCTCTACGTATGCCCGAAAACCGCGATCGGCACATATTGTTCCTCAAGGTACGTCTTCTCCTCAGCCGTCAGCTCCAGATTCACCGCCGCTGCGAGATGGGTTGAATCAGAAATACTTGGAAGTGGAAAAGTTTCTAACCGATACAATCCGCGAGCTTCTCGAGCGAAGTCGCACCAATGATGGGCGCCGTTACACCTAAATCCTCATTCAACCATCGGGTGGGTTTAGGTATTGAATCTAACGCACCATCCTTACTCATAGACCACGCAAGCGCGATTTGCGCCATCGACACACCACGCTTCTTGGCGATCTCCTCGACGCGGTTGACGATGGCTTCGTACCCGCCTTTGTTATACGAGTTGACCCATCTGCATGTGCGGATGATGAGCTGAGATGCATAGTACGCTAATGAGAAACCTACGGATCTGCCGTCCCACGAGAGGTTTCCTTCTGCGCTGCGAGCGGGCGCGTGAGCACCCCGCGTGCAAGGGGCGACCAGGGGATGATGCCCACGCCATAGTGCTGCCCGAGAAATATTAGATTATTCGATGCAACCAACAGTTCGACCAACCTTGAGAGTAGGGAACATTTCGCGTTCTTCCTCGCGGTATACCAGGCTGTGGTGGTTCTGCATAGAGATAAACGGCGTCAGGTTGTGCGTGATGGCGTAGTCTAGTCAATCGAATTTCAGGAAGAAGTCAAGGATAACGGAAGTCAGCATAGACACACTTTGCATAATGTTGACTGGCGTGTAAAATGAGCAGGGGAACGTGAAAGACGAAGAGAAGCGACGTACACTGATACGCCCAGCAAGAGCTCATCCCGATGTAGCGTACGTATCCGGCCTTGACGACATCGTGGAGAGCTTGCATCTGCAGACACTCAGAACCAAACTTCATCACCGAATTTGCAACTCGACGCACTGTTTCTTCGATGGGCGTGTCATAGTCGAACCGATGGCACTGTAGGAGATCGATATATTCCAGCTGCAGTCGCTTGAGGCTGTCCCGAACAGAATCGAATACATGCTTCGAGAGAAATGAGTGGCTACCTGCCAACTTCAAGTTCAATAACGCACCTTGCGACTCAGCCCGCGCTGGTTAGTAGTCCTTCCTCCCTCCGATTCCTTGATTTTATTCCAGGCAGAGTACCCAAACAACTTGGTCATGACGACGATTTCGTCCCGGGGTAGATTGTGTTGCTTGATCGCCTTGCCAAGGATTTCCTCCGACTGTCCGTCTGAATACACCTCACGGCAAACGGATTAGCTGAGACGGGAGAGATGATGAATGTGGGGACTCACTGCGGCCGTATCGAAGGCGTTAATCCCCGCGTCGTAGCTGTCTTGCAAAGTTAGTCGAGTCGCCGACAATCGAACCCACAAAGACGCACGCAGCCTTGATATGTTCAATGCCCACCTCTTCACCTAGGATCCAGCCCTGGTTGGCCCATGAAGACGACCCGTAGCTCATGCATCCAAACACGATCTTGGAGATCTTGAGCCCCGAGTTGCCGAGACGCACTGTGCAAGTCAATAGCGCGTTTACACGGAGAGAGGAGACCAACCGTATTTCATCTTTGCTGGAGCTGACATTGACTGGGCCCTGAATCGTTGGTGGGAGGAGCGAGAGAAGGAGGGTTTATATCGGTCGGTCGTGCCGCATTTTTGGCCGCATTTCGTAACGCGGAGACCCGACGGCGACATGGGATGGAAACCCCGAAAGGCCCGCCGCGGTTGATGGCCGTGGTAGGACCCGAACACTTTCGTCTTTTCTTCGTTTCCTTCCACACTTGGACTTCGACCTCAACGCTCCCGTTCGTGTGCGTCTATAATGCTTCCCATATATCGTACAGGCGTCCAGTCCGGGGTGCTCCAAGGCCGTTCGTGTACGTACGTGACTGCCTCTATATCTTCCCTCAGATTCATTTATGTGCAGAACGATTTCACGCCGATGAAGAGCCTTGAAGCAGCAATTAGACTCGTCTCCTTTCTAACTGCACTTGGGTATGTACATAACGGGACTGGTATACTACTTGGACAAAAGTCTATACTTGCAAGTAAGGGTCCGGAATCGCACGACGATGGCGAGGGTTGTTTGCAGGCGGTACAATCGGTCCAACCCTCGTATCGACCAAGAGTTCCGGAAGCTGCAAATCAGCGTAAGTAACTCGTCTCGAGGAGAATATCGCAACACGTACTCCACCAGGGAAATGCGACAACATGCAATTCGGCTTCTCCGCAAACTCGATATCAAACTTGTTCGACACCTCGTTGTAAAATTGGCCCCGAGGGTACTTCGTCTCGATCTCCTGCACCGTCTTGGGATTCCACAGGTTCGTGAAACTCATCCCGGGCAAAGCGGTACCATTGAACCCCCCGACGTCGAACAACGACCCGAGGGACATTAACATCTGATTCGCCGAAGAGTTGCCCACAGTCCAAACGGAAGTATGCAGCGTAATGGCCTGCACAATGTCCCCAACCTGGTACGCATCGAGCTCAGGCGCCGCCTTGTGCAGGTGGTTATACGCCATGACGGCGCTCTGCAGCTCGAACGTCATCCCATGCGAGGGATCGTGCATGCCCTCCGGGATATTCGACATCCCGAGGTCGTGTAGGATAGTCGTGTGGTACAACCGCATCGTTAGCTCGTTGAAGCTGATTTGCGGTACGCCGGGTGTGCGGGAGGGGAAGCCCGTGTAGAGGAGGGCGAGGCCGAAGTAGAAGCATCGTAGGACATGGTTGAATATGGAGGGCGGGGTGAGTCGCTTGGCGTATGCGAAGGATTCTGTGTGGGCGCGGGAGAGCGGGACCAATTGGAGGGTTTCAAAAGGAATGTAGGCCGGTGTGAGGTTGGAAATGGCGTATAATTGGGCGCCGTCGCTGGGAACGTACGCGTCGAAGGTCTGGTTGTGAAGAATGGTCATGGGTTTTCGCCAAGTGGCTGAATCTGCCACCAGGTCTGGATCCGTTCAATTTATGTGCAATTGAAGACGCTTGATGGAGAAGTTCAAGTGGGAAAATCCCGAGACAAAAATCTTGATATGGGCGCGGGGCAGTGATTCTGCACAAGAAGATGTCAGGGAAGGCATGTGCAAATCATTTTCTGTGTGTTCAATTGAATTATTCAACTATCTGACGCGCCCATATCCGGCAGAAAAAAAGGAACATGAGTACTTACTTACGCCATGAGCCTGAACTTGAATGGTGCTCGCATTTATTCTGGTTTCATGAATGGTCTTCGAGAAGACGTACCAGGCAAGTGCGTAATCTCCCAGAATCCTGGTGAGAATTTACTTCCGCGTCCAAACGCCCAAATCAGTTACCATTGCGATCTGCATCACAAGTTGAAGCATCACCGTCTCGGAACCCGTTCGGGATCAGCGCTCATACTTGCCAGCAAACACGCAAGCTCCGGACATACTTAGGCGGGTTTCGGTTTCCAGCGAACAGCACCTGGCAATCATATCTTTCGTCCACATCTACAAAAAGATCAAGCACCTCTCCAACAATCCAACTTCGTAAGTATCCAAAAAATCCTTTTCCACTCGCCTACAGTTACAGTTCTTCATTTATGTATGTACAATTTGATTCATTCATCCTTTCTTTCTTTCCTTCTTCTCCACGCCGCCCACCCATTATAAGTACCTGCCCTGCCTATACTTTTTCTTCAATAATCAGAAAA